TACGTACCATGAAAAGAGCAAAAATCATTCGGTAATACATTAAATTTTGATGCCAGAACGAGTTGAATTATACTCAGCGCTATTATTTATTATTTCTATAAAGAGAATTGAATTGATGGAAAAATATAATATGGAATAGAATAAAAAAAACTGCTGCGAAGTATGTGATTTAGTGTAGTAGAAAGGATAAAGTACGGGAGTTTGAGTTTACGAGAATAAAACGATACAGAAGAAAAGAAGAAGAAGTTCTTACTTGACTCGGTACTTGAAGTATTTTATTATTTTACTGTCTTCATATACATATATACCCGTAAAAATGTATATGTATAAGTCTATGCAGTTTTGAGTAAAACGAACTATGCGTCTTTAAGGTAACGAGATTCGTACACGTTGTTTGATGTCGAGGAAATCCTTATTTTATATACGGCAAGACGGTTCGTCTAGTAGTGTACCGGGCTGAAAGTCTCAGTAGAGAGAAAGTAGTTTTCATCTTGAGTTGATCCAGCCCGTGGAGATACAACTCCACTGCTCTAGACTCTAGGATTGCTTCAACAAGACCAAAAGCGTTTGCATATCTCGTATAATGTACGTGTCTGGGCCAACGAAACACTCTTGTACCTCACCCTAGATTTTCCTTAAATTTAATTCAATCTCTGCTATCATAATAAACAAACTTTACTTTATCATAATATTTTTATTTAAATTTTTTAATATATTTTACCTTCATAACATTTAGATTTTTACGTCAAACAGATATTCATTTTATCTCTCTCGTGTCTCTTTGAGTTTCATTTTTATGTAAGCTAGGTATCTGCGAGTAATAAGATCTGAAGGATAACAAGGTTTAGTTATGAAATATTTGTGATGATAAAGAAATAAATTATTCGTAAATTTTAATTATTGTTTGAGGACATTTTCTATAAAATATTAACAAAAAATGTTAATTTTTCCTATAAATAAAAACAAAATCAAACATTTATTCCGTATAAAAAATTTTCATAAATGGCAATATCAGCCTATATAAAGATAGATAAATAATTATTAATTACATTAATTTACTTGTTGTATAAGTAGATGATTAACAAAAAAAACAATATGTTGGATAATTTTTTGTTTTATAATTTTTTAATACCTCCAACTTAACTCTCTTGTAAGGAGAAGATTCAGCGATCGTGCGCCATCTATCGGATATTTTCAACACTAACTTTGGTTAAAAAATCATAGATGGACATATAAAAACCTCATCATAAAATTTTTTTACGACATTGCATACTTGTCTTATTTTCCATTAGAATTTTTTGGATAAAAACTTATAAATTTTTCAGACATTCATTAAAATCGTGTTAATCATGATATCAACATACTTTTTTCTTGAATCTAATTAGCTTTCTGATAATTTATACTTACTAATTACTCCAATAAATCATGAGAGCGATAATAGAGCAAGTTGACAAAACGCCATATTTCTAAAAATACTAATTAAATCAGCTTAAGACAAAGGCATAATTAATTAACACTATAAATAATTTATACAAGAAGCAACTAACTAATTAAAGTGAATTATTAAAATATTAATTTCTCACAGAAAATATAATCTTATATACAAAGTATTAGTCATTAAAGGATGTTGCAGTTAAGTAATTTGCATCTTAGTTCGCGTCGTAAGATCTGTTCCTTCTTCCTCGAAATAAACTACTATAACATAGTATATGTACTGAGAAGCGAAATTCTTGGCTCCTCATCCCAGTTCACCTCGGAGCTACTGTGGCATGGATGAATGAGACCCATGGGCTGGAGCGTTGATAAGGATACCGCCTTGTCTTTATCTTTCTCCTTCCAATTCGCTTTCTGCCTTTATCTTGATCTTTCTCTTAGCTGCAACGAAGTTTCTTGTAAGCCGGTAATCTTCAGTAAGTAACAAAACACAACCCACTTCGCTTTAGGCGACACTCAAGTCATCATTCTTAGGTGCATCGACCACCTACACAAACACATTTCCGTCTTAAAATTTCCGAGTGTATTTTTACGTATCAACATCCTGATTTAGCATAATAAGCTCCAGGAAAAAATAATGAGTCCATAAAAATGTTGAGTATATATCTCGAAAAATAATTCGAGATTCGGGTAAGCAAGATAATACAAGTTGTGTGCACCACCATCAAGAATTATACCTTACTCTTAACTTAGGTTGATATTATTGTTATTGTTGTTGTTGCTTCTAGTAGAGAAGCGAAGGGGATAGCAAATACAAGTAAGCGTATCGGATTATCCGGACCATTGCTTAGTGGATTCAGTGGATCCGGTCGCACGATTCGCGTAACCGCTTACTGCATTTTCTCTGTTACTTCATATAGTACGTACAGGACATTTCAAAATCGTTCAGCTGAAATTCGCTAAACGGATTAGCTCTAATTTTAAATTAATGTTTGTGTAAGAGCGTTAATTGGTTTATTTGTTCCATTAGTTATTTCTGTACACATACATTTTGGTATGCAGCATCCAGAGTTTATAGATTAATTTTGTTTTTTTCAAGATCTTTTCAAGTTTGGTCTTCGAGTCTTCAAATGTCATCATCTGTTCCTCTTTTGGATATTGACTGAAATTTGACTGCAAGAAAATATTAAATCTAGAGGTTGAAGGTTTGATTTGGGTCGCCATATTCAGCAATTGTTCCTATTATAGATATTCATCCAAATATGTTTTACGTTTTTAGGCTTATTGTTTCCTTTAAAAAGTATCAAAATTAATAGATATATTCTAAAATCTACAATAGCTTATTTTTTTTAGCTAAATTTGGCATATTTTGCTGGATATTCATTCAAATATGGCTGTTTTACGTTCTTAAGATCACTTTCTCTAGAATAATATTAAATTTGACGGACAAATCCCCAAAGAACCCGTTGTAGTCCCTTTTTTGTGAGCTAAATTTCATTCGAAAAGGATTGATGTAATCTTATTAAAGCTCAATCTTTAGACTCGGGTAAGCAATAAACTTTGGCGCTAAAAAAAATCACCTGGTTCAAGAAAAATATTCTCTTTAAAATTTCATTCTGAATTAAGAATTTATGCAATTCATTCGCAAATCAAAAAAATAAAATTTGTAAATAAAAGAAAAAAAAATTTTTATTTAAAAATTTTACTAATATGATGATGCACTTTACTGTTTTACTTAAAAAATTTGTTTCTTTTTAGGAATTTTTTTTTTAATTCAATCTTGACTTCATAAACTTTTCAGAAAAACGAAATCATTCTTAGTTTTTAAGATTTGCATTTTCAATGAAGAAGAGACAAATTTTTTAATCAAAACAATGTTCGTCTTGAAAAAAATTTTTTCGGATCAAAAATATTGTTTGCAAATTAAGTACTTTTTTTTTCAAGTATATGAACAAAAAATATATATCAGTCGATCAATTATTGACTACAACAAAGACTAATGAATGACCAACTGAATAAATTCAATAGCAAATGATTAAAGTGCGTTAATTAATTATGCCGTAGATAAGTAAAATAAAAAATGTTGAAATCCACTCTAACAATAATCGATTATTCGATAATAACTCGGTGAAACAGTGTACAAGTATACTTAACATCGTTACTAAACGTATATATGTATTTAGCAGTGTAAGTAAAGTGAGAGATAAAATGAAGCAAACATTGCAGAGAGAAACGGTTGACCGGTAGCGTTGCTATTAGTACAGTAATCATAATGATCATCATTGTTATCGATTTGCCGGGTTGCACATTTATCGTTTCATTTCCCCACTAACTTGCGTTTCACTCATACCCATTAAATTCACCTGGGGATTTACGGTAGAGGTGTTTGGTTACAAGCGACCGAGTAAGTGAACAAGAGAATCCGATTTGAAGAGAGCGAATATCCGGGAAAGAGAGAGAGAGAAAGATACTCAGAAATAGTCAACATAGTTACCAAAGATTATTACCATTTGATTCAATTTCCGGCAAATTCCGAGAATAATTTATTGTTGATTTGATTGCTCAACCACCGTAATAAATATTTAGATGAAACCATCTCGGGGTATTAAAACGGTTAACGCGTAACTTCTGAAATATTCAAGTGCATAAAGGGTTAAATATTATTCTCAAAATAGTGGTGCATGCTGAAAGAGTCTTAGCTTCATGGTACACATTTCGTATTTTCCAACTTTAGTTACTTTGTATGCAAAGCTTTGCTGATACTCCACTCGGATCTGAAAGTATTTCTGGTGATAGTATTTCTAGTATTGAAGTGAAGCGAGAGAGAAAAACGAAAAAAAATAGAGAAATAAAGATGGCTCAGGTTTATTCTTATTTATGTTATATGTAACATATGGGGTCACGAGGTGAAGTGGATTTCTGAGGTAGAATGGAAAATATTTATTCTATTTATGAATTTTTAGTGTGTTATATTTTTAAAAACTGAAATATTTAATAATATTTAGTGAAAAAACTTACAATTTTTATTTTCGTACTGATTATTTTTTTTTAAAATAACGATTGATGGAGCATCTAATCGTGAGTATAAAAAGTTATATTTAAGTTCATGGATAAATATTTTTTTACTGTATTTCAAAATATAGGTCTTAATCAATGTAATCTTTTGAGTTAGTTTACTCTGAAAAAGAATAACTTGATTCAAGAAAAATATTCTTGATCCACGAAAGGCTTACCGCACGTAATATTTTTTATTACTCTAAAATATAACGTAATTAAAGTTATTAGGCAAGCAATAAAGTTGTAACTATTTTATTTAATTCACTTCAAATTTTACAGTTTTTATACTCACATTAATTTTTATTACATTCTTACTTACATACTCACAATAATTTTTTTATTATACTTGACTTTTAAGTTCAATGGCCATGTGATAATAATATCAATTGAAAAAAATAGATGTTATTGATATACCTGACAACATTTCTACGTTTTTAAATTAAACTTATTTTATTCAATTAAACAAAACTTTTTTTGATTCATTATTACTTGAATTCGCTTCGCCAAAATTAATTTTTGAAGTTACCGTCATTTATTTTATCAATCAGATCTTGAGTCCCAAAGTCAGCTATTACGATAATCAATCCGCAGTTCAAATTCTCGAAATTATTAGTCATTAGCAGGTTAATGGGTTCTCCACATTCATCTCCCGAAGAGAAACCACCATCTCGAGCCAAAGTTTGTCGATTGAGATACTGATTCAAAAAAGTAGTATCGCGAATTGAACATCGGAAGTTTTCATTGCATTTCCGGTTCGCGATTTTGATTTTTCTGACAATAATTGATGTTAAGAAGAAAATTTGGTGTAATTTGCGGCCCATCGAAGTTTGTAATTTATGTGTAAGACAGTGTGAGTTAATATCCAATGAACACTCGGCGAATGACGGATCTCGGGATCTGAACTAGCTAGTAAAATTCTATTTCGATAGATCCCAATTATGTCATCCAGTCTCCAGCTTGTTACCATTCGCCATCCACCCCAAACATTGAAAATGTACTCCTCTATGATCTCGCAATTACTTTTTATTGAACCCAAATAATCACAATAATCGCTCTGTTTAATTAACATTATCACAAATTCTCCCGGATTCTCATCTAGGAATTTGTTGATCTCGAATAGAATGTTGTAAAAATTGTAACCTTTCATCACAGGGTATGGATAAAGTTCAAAGTGTGTTGATTGCGGACACACTGAGATGTCGAACCCTCTAACTCCATATTTCAACTGTTGCAGAATAGTTAAATCTTGAGTGCGCAATGTTTCGTCTTGAGTAGTGTATGACGCCGATAGATGAGTTCCGACCAAAGCAAGGCTGTGCAATTTTTTTGTCTCTGGCAATTTTCCTAATAACTTCGTTTTTTCCAAGTAAGGTTTGTATACATAAGTCGCACAACCACATGCTTGCACTAAATATTTATCGATAATAATACAATATAATACTATCAGCAAAAAAACGATTTCTCGCGACATATTCAATAGATTTTTATTTTCAAGTCTCGAATCATGTTAGTCACTCAAATATTCCACTGCCTATTGATCAATAATGTACAAAGTTTTTTGTATTTAAAAAATAACTTTTTTTTAGCTTACATCCTGTTTATAATCTATTTCTTATTGTTCTTTTAATTACACTAGAATTTAATTTTCGCGCGCAAGCGCGCGCCCTGACTATGGAGTTGGCATATATTTTCATGCTTATGATATATTCGACCAATCACGTTACGAATAGTTTGATGCCACATACATTTCATCTCAATTTTATTATGGGATAGCGGTTACACTATTACTTTTTTTTATGATTCCCACTTTTTAATAGTTAATAAGTGATATCATAAAATGTTAAAAACTAAAAATATATCGGCGGAGGAAATTATGGTGTGAATTTAATAATTCTTTTTTTTTTAATATTTTCCAATTCAGTAAATTTTTGTTTTCATTTTCAATGAGTCAAGTTTATTGTCAACTTTGCGCGCTCCCAATTACAAGTTTTCGAAGATTTAGTAAGTTATTGAATATAGTTAAAAATGACAACAGATGATGTTGTACTTTGATTTGAAGTTGTTTACTTATCTTCAGACCTCGACTTTTCTGACTAGATTTGGATGCGCAATAAAACACACAAGTTTTTATATAAACTTCAATTACGCGCTAAATCTCTCAATAACCAAATCTTTTACAACTTAGATTTGTACACATCTAACCACCGGATTCGCTTACTTTATATTATCTCTTAATTTACGCGGACTTCTACAAACTGAGTCTTCACTATATTTATCATTCAACGCTCAACTTTTCCACGTTAAAATTCACAGTACTTTGCTAAAATTAATTTTATTTTTACTTAATTACTACTTTTATGTCTTGAAATATGCCAACTTTAAAATAAATTCGCCTACAATTGTTTTGATTCTAACTTTAAACTTTTTTTTATCTATCTAAACTAAAAAACTGAAAATGAAGCAAATTCGATATTATTTCGATTAAAATTGTTAAAAGTAAAAAATAAGTAATATCTTCAATGCGGATATCGATTATCGTTAATCCCATCCACTTCTCCATGACGAATTATCGAAGTTACAATCATTTATTTTGTCGATTAATTCTTGAGTGACAAAATAAGCTAGAACAACAGTCAAACTACGATGATTTCTTTCAAAGGACTCACTAGTTTGTGAGTTAAACTTAAAAATAAAAATTAATTAAACTTATTTTGATGTTTTAAAAAATAAAAAAAAAAAAACGAGTTAGAAAACAATAAAGGGAAGTCATCTAATTCTATTCTTCTATTTTTAGGTGTTTTTTTTTTTTTTAATTGATAGCACAATGGAAATTTTTACTATGTGAGTTTATTTATAATGCAACAAATGAATTTCTATCGAACCATTTCTTTTTCTCCGCTAATTACTGTAAGAACAACCCAAATTCTAAATCACTAAAATTACGAACAAATTTTGACACTAAAATAAAATATCTTCCTGAGCATCCTCACCCTCCAGGTGCTTCATGAGGGCTTAATTTCTCAAAATATATTCTGGTGAAGCATCCTTAAATAGTGTAAAATACAGTTTACTCTAATATATGGGTGACGTGTAAAGAGAACTGGTATTAGAGAGTTAGTAGAGCAAATAAAGCGCTTGGTATCCTCGCACGAATCAAGATGACTTGAATGGTATGGTACGAAGGAATTCTTGAGTTTGCGATCCTGCTAAAGTAAGGAGGTATGGGTGGATGGCAGGAAAAGGTACCTTGACGCCAAGTTGTTGCAATTAACACAAACGTTTAATTAAGCATCCCCTTATGTGCTTTTACACACTGGTATTCTCACATACCTGCCCACAGACCCGTGATGTATTGCCTGTACTAACAATTATTCGCTTGCGGGGCTTTTCTCTCTCACTATGGAAGTCTATTTTCCTTGCTTAAATTAATCGTCCTATATATTTCCTTATACATTAGTATTTCTCACACATAATGTGTAATCCTGCTAGAAGCGCTTTTTTATCAACCTAATTCGTTCAACATTTTATTCGTCTGAAAATAAATCCAACGTTTGAAAAGTTTTGATCGGCTATTTTAATGAGGCTTAAACTCAAACTAAGCTTGCTTATAAAGTTAGTCGGAAGTTTTGTGTGAACGGATGGATTTCTAATTACATGGATTGGATTATTTTATGGTCAATTTACAAACATTCAAGCTCACCTTATTTAACACAAGTATAGCTCACCTGCTTCTCTATATTATTCTATTGATGTTCAAGACTTATAATTTGATAATCAAATCAATAGTTAAATACATTTTGTCAACACGCGGTACTTTTTTACATTCGAACAATTTAAATTGATGGTTCTATTCATTTTATTCATTTTTTATGTACTAGGAATCCCTGCCAGCTTCACTGGGCATTAATTAATCTCAAAAAACTTAAATTCTTTGATAATTAACGTGATTCAAAAGAAAAATTAAGAACATCATTTTTAAAAATTTGATTATTTTATATTAAGCAGAAAAATTTATTGATTCAAAATTTTCCTGCTTGATTTAAAAAAGTAAAATTTTCCTCAGTGATATTCTTGATTTAATATTTTTTTCTTGAATCAAAGTCAACTTTTTTTATCAGTGTTTTAAAAATAAATATCATTGTAATATTAAAAAATAAAAATAATAAAATTGCTCTAACTCTTTTCATTTTATGCGCTTAACAAGATACAGCAATCCGTTTTTATTTATATAGAAATTCATTTAACTTCACGTGTGCTATATAGAGAATACAATTTGGTCAATTATTTCAGAAGCTTTGCCTTGATTTTACGTATCGCTAAATTTTTATTGACCACTCATGCTTATGGTTTTGTCGACAAGGATCCAAATATAATACTTCAAAGTATTTTTATATACCGTTAAATCGGCTGAGCATTGTTCAGAGTTAAGCATGACTGGTCTTCGATCATCTTTATGATTTAAAATACTCAGTGCATGAATGCAAGGACGTTGTTTTATTTTTATGTTCCTATTATTATATTTAATTTTTTATCAATTTTGTCTTAGCGTAATTGTGATTATAATATTCCCGAAAATAAAAATATTTTTTTTATAGTAGATTAGTTTTTTTTCCACACTATGTTTCGAAATTTCAATCGTAAATTTTGTGTTTTATTAATTAAAGTAATTATTTAATTTTATCGTCTTAACTTTTTTGTTCCTAAAAATTTCGACACAATCGATTAACATAAATTTGGATTTGTTGGTAGAAGGGGTACGGTACAAGGGTAGTAAGTACACAAAAGTGTACCGATTCATGGTGTGTAATCGGGTGGTAAATTTAACGACTACAAGAAAGTGAGCGAGAGGGAGGAAAAGAGGAAGCATCCTCGTATAAATTTTCACGTCCTTGCCCATTCTCATCGTTTCGCCGAGATAAATCTATGGTCCGTAAATAAGAAATTGTGAGAGGTTGAGGTTTTTGTCGATCGGTTATCAAAATATACTGATTGTTTGGCGATAAAAAAAAATTATATGCCGTAATTTATTATCGAAACAAGTTCAGTTGAAATTTATAAAAAAATCACTGAAACAGTATTTGTTTCATTCTCGAAGTCGAAAATCCCCTCTTTTCAAACTTAGAACCGGATAAATATTTATTTTAGAGGGCCCACGTACTAACGTAAAAATATAAATCCAAATAGTAATAAGTGTGTGATAAAAAGTAAATTTATTTTAGCTGTAGGAACATTTACATTTCAGGCATCAGGAATTTATGATCAACCCGAAAATCGTATTTTCAGATTTTATCGCGTTCAGTAGAAAAATAAAAAAACTAAAATGAAATGAAATAAAAAATAGATAAAATAAATGCGGAGAGAAACAACCAGATGCGATAACTATCGACAATTGATCTCTGTATTTTACCGGTAGGTCGATCACTTTGGCTTAACGCTTGACATCGAAAATACTGCCTGAAGGGGCGACTGGAAACTCGGGTTTTCCAAATTGGCCTTTCGTCTATCCTTTATTCTATCTATGCTACTGCTCACCAGTATCTACGGTCTGCACTCAACCCTTTTAACTCTCGTCTAGTTTACGTTGGAAACACGATCGAGGAGTGCGGTTACATCGATACTCTTAACGAGTTTAAAGTAACTATTGTTTGCTTTTTATCCAACCATCTCCTCCACCATGTATACTTATGTGTGTGGGATATATCAAAGAGAGTCTGCTATTTATTTTACCCCAGCCGGATCACTTTCATCTCTTGATACCGATTGATTCTGTGCTAAATATTTTTAAGTTCAATGGTCTTTCGTCTGTTTTTAAAATGTTTATATCTTTTCTTTAAATAAGTGTTTCATTATTTTTACCGGTGATTTTTTATTGTTAAAAGCTGTAAAAAGTTACAATTGATGAAAAAATTATTTTTTCCCGATTTGAAAAAGTCTGAGCTCAAAATGTGACTCTAGAAAAATATTCTCATCATGCCTACCTTATAATTAGGTTTTTTTTAAGGATCATCAAAATTTTTTCTAAATTTTGATGTGAAAAAATTTTCTGTATGGCTGAAAATAAAAATTAAACATATATCTCGTTTCATATGACTTGATAAGTCCTTACAGGGCTTGATATATCCAAATACAATTTTTTTTGAACAATTTTAGTGTTGAAAATATCCGACAGGTGGCGCATGATCACTGAATCGTCTCGCTACAAGACAATCAAATCTGAGGTAATAAGTATTCAAATAAAAATAGTGTTTTTGACTTTCCTAAGAAGCTTATTTGACATTGATTTATAGTTTAATAAATTACTCAACCGATATTTAATTAATACAACAATTTAATTGAAACACTAATTTCGGAAAAAAATAAACAATTGTAGTTAATTTTTTGTTGTTCACATATGAAGACTAATATAACCACATATGACGAGGTCAAGCTATATATAGCTGTATGAGGTCATATTAGAAAATTTTTACTTAGATTGAGTGAAACCATCAAATGTAAACTTGATCAAATAAAACCCATTAAATAAAAAATCAGTCGCTTCAGGCTATGAACATCAAGTTCTCAGTAAAATATCCCCAAATAATGGTTAGTGGGATAAGTGGATGGAAAACAAAATAGAGTAAAAGAACCCGAGTTAGATAAAATTACATATTGGCTGATACGTCTGGGGATCACACAGAAAAAATTTTGTAGTCAGAATCACTCGGTATAATAAACACTATGTTTGAATATATACGTTCGATTTTTGTTTTATGTTATATAAATCTTCGGTAAAGTTTTATCGCGATGAAGAGTCAGTAGATCAAAGAACCTTGACGTCCAAATAAAAAAACTTTTCTTTCATTTTCTGTCGAGGCTATTGATCGTTCAAAGCTATATTTTTCCTTCCGGTCAACAGGTCTTGGTCCTTGTTTCTTGCTTCAGCTATAAAAAATTTATTTCTGTTTTGTTACTTTGAGCTTTTATCTCAGCCCGTAAATTTTTAGCCTTCAGGGTTTTAGGGTTTTATAGAGTCTTATTCAAAACTAAGTTATATATGAAAACTCTCTTCATTTCGAAGAATATACAAATAATATGAAGATTTGCTCGTCATTTAAGAGTTTGAAATGTAGAAAATGATATTTTCAGCATGGCTCGATAATTTTAAAAATTTATAATTTGTAATCTAACTTTTGGATAAAATGACAAATTGTAAATGGATCAATTTTACAACTTTTGAAATTATTAAATTTCAATTTTCTAGCTTGCTGAACAAAATTTTTCATTTTTACATTTTAGACATTTCATATCAAGCTACTATTTCACAGTTTGTTAAACATTTGGATACTTAATCAGTCTACGCATAATATTCGTATTTTCAGTTGTTTGAATTCTCCAAATTAGCTCCAAGTTTTTGTGTGGATTATACAGTAGCGCTTGAAAAATAGTAACCGCTTAAGGCTCTTAAAACCTTTTCTTAGCAACTACTAGTTTCATTGGCGAGAGTTAGTGTGCAAAACGAACGAGTATATACTTCGAGAACCGTGCCTGGTATAAAACCCAAACGATTCTATTTTACGAAGGATACGCGACTCGAATATCAAACTATAGTTTTGTGCGTTCATACATTTGTGAATATTATGAATATTTATGTCGAGCAGTATTGTTACATACAAATATATGAAATAGCTCAGATCATTATCGTCAATATTCATTAGTTTTTCTTTCTTTTCTAAAGTTCTTAATTCTTAAGAAAAATAACTTAGATTTTATTGTACCAATCAGAAATGAATACTTCCATCTAATTTTCAATGCCTGCTTGATTATTAAACTTTAAACTTTTAACAATTAATAAATTGAGTAACTCTTAGTTTTACGGTCATTTTATTATTTTATTTATTAAAAAACAAAGAAATTAACACTTTTTCAAAAATTATTTCATTTCACGGCAAATAAACGATAACAACAGAAAATCATTCATAAAATGTATTCGGCTATGTCTAATGATTTCTATATTATTATTTTCATTCTATGTGTGATAACAGACAATTGAGAAACAAAATTTCACTTATGTCAATTTTTTATTATTTTGTCGAAATTTTTTTTCATCTAACTATTCTATTTTCGATAAAGAAAAAAAAATTTGAAATATAATTTTTATAAATTGAAGAATTATAGATGGTCAAAAAATTTTCTAATATCTGGCTATCTATGAAAAATAGTATAAAAAATTTTACAATTTTTAATTTTTGTTTATAAATGTGTATATTACATCATATGTTGTATCAAAAAAATTAATTTAGTAGTTAATTAAACTAAAAACTACTTTTGAGTAAATTTTTCGGTTCGGAGTGTTAAAAGAATGATTTTTATATAAAAGTTTAACACCTCAGATTCAACTCTCTTGTAACGAAACGATTCAGTTGTCGTGCGCCCTCTGTCAGAGATGTCTGACACTAAACTTAGTCGAAAAATTAATTATGTGTATATTAAGTCATAATAAGCCGCATATGTATATGTAAGACCAGATATGGCCAGTTTTTGTAT